CCTAAACCCTAAAACTCTAAAACCTAAACCCTAAACCCTAAACCCTAAACGCTAAACTCCTCGCTCCAAGTTGAAGCCCAAACAGAAGCCTAGGAAGACACGATCCGGGACGCTTTCCGCTGGCGTCGCTCCGCCGGCCACGTGCTCAGCCAGTGCCTGGGGCAGCTCAAACAGGGTTTGGGATTTATGGTTTAGGAGGGTTTAGGGTTTAGGGTTTAAGGTTTTAGGGTTTCAGGTTTAGGATTTAAGGTTTTAGGATTTCAGGTTTAGGATTCAAGGTTTTAGGGTTATTTAGGGTAATAAGGCTTTAGGGTTTATGTTAAACATCTACGCAGTACAGGAAGCTCGGTTACAGTCACGTTCCCTTTAACAGTTTAGGGTTTTAGGGTTTCGGGGTTAATTTTTTTTATGGTTTAAGTTTAGTGCTCAGGGGGTTTATGATTGTGGACTTCTAGAATGTGCTGGGTTTCTCAGGGCTTAAAGAGGGAGGGTTCACTGATTCAGAGTAGTGGGGTTGAGGGTACAGGTTCTGGTTTGCAAGTAATATGCAAGTTAAATTCACTGAAAGAAACACTTGCAAAGCCTGATCCCCCTAAGATGTGTGTGTGTATATATATATATATATAAAATAGAGAAACAATACATACATAGTTTTACAGTAGATGGTCTGAAGCAGAAAACAAGTAGTGCACGCATCTTTTTTCGAGGGTATTTGTTTATGTACAACATATCATTTGTATCTTGTAAACATATACACATATTATATATATATACACTGTTGGTATAAATACATAAATATATATATACACACACAAATCAAATTTGTTCGTTTTATAGCACGAAACACATAGTATAATATGAAATCTGTAAGATACATTATATGGCAAACAACATGTCCGAAACATTTTGTAGGGTTTACAGTGCGACAGTTCATAATTAATACCACGCACACACACTACATCCCAACAAACATGTGTAACGCACGCACACACACATAGTACATAATGTCATACAGCGCAAAATCGAAAGATTAAACAGGATGTAAGGAATGTCGAATCATCTTTTGCACATCTTTATGACGTCATTATAGGTTATGATACAACATGTAATTTATGTAATATGCAACAGAACGCAAACATCATCACGAATAACATATACTACGCAGCTTAAAAACTTAAATATATGCTGTATATGCTTCCATACAGATTATGTAATATACAGTGTGCAATGAGCCATATCTAGCATTCAATCCTCGGTATAAAATGCAAGCGATAGCATGTCTAATGTGTATTACGTGACAACTCTGAATAATGTGCATGTAAATGCTCACCGCGTTCTAATACGGGTGAAATTTCAGATTCAAATTTGCAACTATGAGTGCTCCCAAACAGCAGCTTCCTAAACCCTAAACCCTAAACCCTAATTAAACCCGAAACCCTAAACCCTGAACCCTAAGGTGATCAGATCAGCCCAGGTATGATCCGCTCTCGAAGTCGTCCCTCGCCGAGAGGGTCTGTGCGCTGGACAAGTCCCTGCCGACATCCGGCATCCAGGCGGGTTCAGGGTTTAGGGGTTTAGGGGTTTAGGAGGGGTTTAGGGGTTTAGGGGTTTGGGGGTTTAGGGTTTAGGACCGGGTTTGAGAAAGCAGCCGGCAGAAGGAGCGTGCTTTCGCCGGACAAACTTCAAAGTCGACCCTAAACTGCTCCAAGTCCCCAAACCCTCAACTCGCAAGTCCTGAACTCCAGACACAAGCCCCTCATCAGAAAACCCGAAACGCCAAACTTCAATTCTTTACACTTTCAGTAGTTAGAAAGATCCAAAACCCTTATTTACACTTTCAGTTGTGAGAAAGATCCAAAACCCTCATATCGCATCACCCCCAGCCCTACGCCCCAAGTTTTTTCAAGGAGCCCCTTACAAAAACCAGACTCGTAGCTTTTCTGGCGTCTCGCAGATGGCCTTGTACGAGAACATCATCCGCTACCTGAAGCCGAGGGCCGAAGGCTTCGAATCGAAGAACCCTCCCCCTTAGGGTTTAGGGTTTAGGGTTTAGGGGGCTCTTTTTAGGGATCCCCTGAGGGCAGTATTAGTATAGGGTCCCCTTTTTAGGGATGGGTTTAGGGTTTAGGGTTTAGGGGATTCCTTGAAGGTATTATAGTGTTAGTATAGGGTCCCCTGTGAGGGTAGTATAGGGTTCTGTACAAAGGGGTCCCCCTTGAGGGTAGTAGTAGTATAGGGCTCTATAAAAAGGGGTCCCCTTCAAAGGGTAGGCATCGGGTTCCTTAAAAAAGGCCCTAAGCCCTAAACCTTAGGCCCTAAACCCTAGGCCCTAAGCCCGAAACCCTAAGCCCTAAACCTTAAGCCCTAAACCCTAAGCCCTAAACCCTAAACCTTAAGTCCGAAACCCT